CAATAAGAGCTTCTTTACTGCTTGTTAGGAATATGTAAATACCTGAAAATATAGCTTGGTCACTAGTTTACTTTGTGTATGTCTGGGCAAAAAAAATATGTTCAGTACATCTCTGCAATACATGCACATTGCCCCACAGGTGTATATATAATATAATTTAAATGTAAATATCCTGGCAACTGGCTCACTTTAAAAACGTTTTTAAAATGTTAAATAGACTTTTAAAGAGTACATGCTTCTGTTAAGTTTTCCCACTGGGGTGAGCTCACCTTACTTCCTGCTTTTACAACAGCCTGTAGCAGCGGGAGTAAATAAAAGTAAGTGGTAAGGGTAAGTAAGTGGTCCAAGGGTATTTTGAATGAAATCTATTACTCCCCCTGAGGTAATAGCTTTAGATTGATAATAAAAGACTTGTAGCAACTGACAGCAACATAAAACACTAGCTCACATAAGTGTTACAGTTACAACTAAAGCTGCAGCTAACGATTATTTTCAAAATCGATTAGTTAGCCGATTATTAAGTTCGATTAATCGGTTAATCGGATAAAAAGTAAAATACATTTTAAAAAATGGCCCCAGTGATGGGACTACTAGTTTGTATTGAGATTGTAGTCCATCCCAGGAGCAAGCTTGAAACGGTGCAAGTAAAAAAGAAAAACAAAACTGTGGTGTGCAATATAGTGAAATGAAAAGTGTGTAAAATTATACAGCGATGAATGCAGAATGGCACCGGCTATAGAGGAATACAAAACCCAGCAATAGTACATTATACAGCACAATGCAGAATACCACCAGCTATAGAGGAATACAACAAATCCCAGCAATAGTACATTATAGCTGGCGGTATTCTGCATTGCGATGTATAATGTACTATTGCTGGGATTTGTTGTACTCCTCTATAGCTGGTGGTATTCTGCATTGCGCTGTATAATGTAGTATTCCTTGATTTGTAGTCCTCTATACAGCGCAATGCAGAATACCAACAGCTATAGAGGAATACAACAAATCCCAGCAATACATTTATACATACAGTGTATAATGTATTGCTGGGATTTGTATTCCTCTATAGCTGATGGTACATTGCTCTGAATAATATAGAGCACAATGTACCATCAGCTATAAAGGAATACAAATCCCACTATCCCAGCAATACATTATAGAGCACCATGTGTGGGAAAGTGCAGGCTTACCTGAGCAGTCTTCCAGCAACTTGTTTCTGAGATCGGGCCTGTCATACCCTCATGCCTGCTCCTCCTTACTTCTTCTCCCCGCGTCCCTGTGCCGATCGTGAATTTGGGCAGGCGATGAGCGTGAGTCGGGAGGAGGTGCGGCGTGTGGAGCGTGGATGCAGGCGGGCGGGTCTGGCAGCGGCGAGCGTGAGGTGGGGCGCGCAGTGTGTGTGGAGCCGTGAACAGGGCCAACCAATCGGAAGCCGATTAATCGATGATTGGAAAAGTTGACAACTTTTTCAATAATCGATTATAATCGATTATGTCGATTAGTTGTTGCAGCCCTAGTTACAACTTGTATAGAACAGTTACTAAAACAGATATAATGGGGTTGATTTACTAAAGGCAAATAGGCTATTCAAATTGCAAGGGAATTTTCACTTTACAAGGGCACTTTGCAAAGAATACCCAGTCACATGGAAGGAAAATATAAGAGTATTTTTGCTTGCACATAATTAAATGATGGAAGTCAGCAGAACCTCACCTCATTTACTAAACTAAGGGAATATTCCTTTGCAAAGTAAACAGCCTATTTGCCTTTAGTACATCAACCCCAATACATCAGTTTAACAATGTTTTTAAAATCTAAAAATAAATAAAATTGACTTTAATAAAATGATAATGATTTGCAGATCTGACAAACGTTATAGACAAGTTTCCAAAGCTTCAGCTCACATGACAGCCCTGTAGTTGAAAAGCTATACAATATACAATGTCTCTGTCAGTCAGTGGGAGTTGTACTGGACAGGTACATAGTTTACACCACTTTGATTCCTTCCAAATGATTCAGTGCTATTTAAAGGACTAATATAGTCCAGCTGTGATATATCCTATTTAAATATGCATGCAAATAATACTTGCTATCATTTGATAGACAAGCGAAGAATACAGTTAATTTCCCTGCTGAATTGAACATAATTTTCCACACACACACGGGAAGAGACCTGTATTTGTACTCCATATTCCAACGCATGGAGACTACTGAATATTTCCTCCTAGAAACCATTAACCCCACTGTAACTTAGAGCCTAAAGTTAATGCACTATTTAGTTCATAATCGGCCTCTGCCAGCAAACATGAGATTTGTCTTCAGGGAAGAGAGCTTATCACTGGAAAACAGTTTGCTGCTATATTGTACTGCTGTGGGTTGAACTGATAGAACCCTGTGAAAGCAGTTGTGAAGTGATTGTGTCCAAGTCTCTGGCACGCCATGAACAGAGGAGGAACTTGTAAAGCTAGCTTTCATCGTCGGCTGGGATCACACTGAGAAGGGACTTGTGAAAACTCGTATCACGGGGTATATGCGGGTGATAAACCAAGGCTGACTGGATAATGTTTTAATATAATTTCCTTGGACACTTTGCTGCTGGGCTAAACACATGAAAAACTCTTCTATGCAGGTGGACATTAATGCACCATTACAAAAGCTGTAGCTGTAATGTTATATTGTTACTGTATGCTTATTAATAAATATAAAATGTGAGCTAGAGTGGGAAATAATTGGCATAGGTGGTAATAGAAGGTACCACATAATTTTTTCTCTTCTTCAATAAGCTTTGTTTTACAGTGAACAGTGTATTATATGCAACGCTGCTTACTAGACATTGCTCCTCCTACTCCAATGCGTTTTACCCCGACAGGCTTAATCATCAGCGGACTTAATCACCCTTTGTTAATGCTTTAATGACACTAAGTTCAGGAGTTAAATCTTAAAAAATGCATTCAAGTACCTTACCTAACAGCAAAAATGTAGCTTTTTTTGTACATCGCTCAGCTGTAGATACTGAAATCATCTCTGAATTGGTGCTTACACTGTCCTTCCTTCTGGAGGGTGGCTACTTTTGTTCCCCATGGTCCCTGTGTGTGTTGTAAAGTAGCCACCACTCCAAGCTCACTCCCATGATGGACTACAATCTCACGTTTAGTTTACTCATTTGTATTGAGATTGTAGTCCATCATGGGAGTGAGATTGGAGTGGTTGCTAGTTATCAACACACAGGGACCATAGAGAACAAAAGTAGCCACCCTCCAGAAGGAAGGACAGTGTCAGTATGAATTCAGAGATGATTTGAGGATCTATAGCTGAGTGATACACAAATAAGATACATTTTTGGTAATAGTTAAGATACTTTAATGCATTTTTAAGTTTTAACTCTTAAGTTTAGTGTCACTTTAATTAGTAAAGCTGGTTAAAAAAATCTATTGGGGTTTTTCTTTAGCAGTACAGTTTTAGGGGTGCCACTGTTCAGTACAGTTCCTTCCACCGCTATGTAGGGGCCACGTGCATTCCTATTGTATGGTTCCAGCACTGCTTTGCTTTCAAAGGCACATAGCATGGCAATAAAGACACTGGCTATCATAAAAAAACATCGCTATCCTATAAAAATCATTTTTGTACAACAGGCATGAAATCTCCCATTGTGATGTTTGTCAGCAAGCTGTAGGAAATGGCAGGCTAGTAACATACTTTCCAGCATATTTAGACATAAAAAAGATGTAGACCCTAACTAAATGATGCTGGGTTTCTTTCTTATTCCATTTATCTATGTTTTCATCCAAGATTCACCAAATTTTCTAATGGAATCTTTAAGGGAAAAGGGGCAGATCCTGAATGAAAGTCACGTGAAACTTGGGTACAAACACTGATAAATAGACCCCCGGTGTTTCATAAACAATTGCCATTTTAAAAAAATGTAATACTTTTCCATCTTTTTTTTTCATTATTCTCAGTGTTTTTGTACTTCTGCGGTCTCTTTGCAACTATTTCTTGTCTACGACTAATCTAGTGATGGCTGCATGGAATTTCTGAGGCAGGGCTTCTATATTGTGACATCAGTGAACCATACCTGCATAATGTGTGTAGAAATAGCCACTTGTAGTCTCCACTGGAAGCCCATGTGAAAGTGACAATGCAGGAGGACAAATGGCATAGAGGGGTAGAGCGTTGTCACCCTATAACAGGAAGTGCCCAAACAAGGAGTTTCATCGGGTAGTATTATTTCAGTGAAAACTGCAGATTTAAAAATACTGAAAATTGCTTTTTAAATTAAATTAAAATCTTAAAGCTTGCTTGAAATTGTAGTCATTGGGTTTATATATACTGTGGACTTTACACTTTACCCATAGCCACTTATTTCCTCTCTCCCAGGGCCATGTTTGGAGATCATGCTGTCCTAGACACACAAGAATGGGTTTCTGTAAGGTTTCACCCATTGTGTCATGTTATTGGTATCGTAAGAAGTCCCATACTTCCTCTGACTTGTCATGTGACACATGACCTGACTGAGGAGAGGAAGTACTATGTGCCCACTGCCACTCTGCAGTCCTGGTAACAGGGAGGGAACACTGCAGATGTAATGAAGAGGGCACAGCCTGCCACCCAGCACCTCCCCACATAAAAACATTGTGTCCAGAAAAACTAGCCCTCCCTTCCTTATCCCAGCCCTGAACACGAGTCATCTGAAAGTCCATATTGATTGTCACATTGGTATCTAATAATTTCCCCAAAGTATACAATAACTTTAACTATAGTACTAATAAAAAGATATGTAACTATTTGATTTGAACAAAAAAAAATCTAATTTATGAGCATTTCATTTAATATAAAAAATCTAAATTAATTACATAAATATTTAACAATTGCTATCATGGAAAAAATGAACCTATAACACCTAAAAAGCAGAGCATATAAAAATAGGTGAAATAAAAAAAAAAAGTAAGAACATTTACTGGAAATGTGCTAAACTAATTCACATCATTGATGGAACTGAACTTGATATAAATGTGTAAGTGGTATAATATATTTATAAACACAATGTGATTAGATACACGCATCTAAAATGGGACATGTGCTAACTCAATATATTTAGATAAAACAATAAAAGGCATTAGAGTCAATTTACTAAGATGTATGACTCATTTTAACTATATTTCTTATTTTAGATCAGGATCATTTTCTCAGGAAAATGTTCAATTCAAAATGAAAAATATTATTATTTTTTTCATTTCATGAAATGGATATTTAAAGATATACTATCATCCATTTCAGGGTCAAATGACAATGTTTGTGGAAAGGGGCCCCCTGATCTACTATCACTTAACTTGCCAGCTCTACCCTAGTGTTGGCTCCAGGGCCGGATTTACTCGCTCTGCTGCCCCAAGGCCAGGCTCCTCAATGCGCCCCCCTACCCACCAACCCCATGGAGAATGGCAGACCTGCAGGCTGCATACAAGTGTTACAAGTGATCTTAGCGACATCACCAAGATCACTTGTACAAAACAAGCGGCGGCTTCCCCGCTGTACACTTAACTCTGCTTGCCCAAAGCAGGGCTAAATGTAGAAAACAACTACCCACCCAGCGACCGGAACTGCATGTCCCGGGCATAGAGATTCAACACCCCTGCTGCCCCTCTACTCCCTGCTGCCCCGAGGCCAAGCCTTGGTTGGCCTTGTGGGAAATCCAGCCCTGGTTGGCTCTTGTTGGGTGCTAAGGATGATACAAAGCGGTGATGTCCTTCTGGGGTGTGTCTAGTTTTGTTCTCCATGGTCCCTGTGTGTGTTGTAAAATCGACACCGCATCAAGCTTGCTCCCGTCATGGACTACAATGTCAATACAAATTAGTACACTAAATGTGAGATTGTAGTCTATCACAGGAGTGAGCTTGGAGCGGTGGCTACTTTACAACACACACAGGGATCATGGGGAACAAAAGTAGCCACCCTCCAGAAGGAAGGACAGTGTCAGCACAGATTCAGAGATGACTTGAGGATCTACAGCCAAGTGATACACAAATAAAATAAATTTTTGTTAATAGTCAAGGTACTTGAGTGCATTTTTAAGTATTAACTCCTGAGTTTACAGTCATTTTAAAGTGTATGTAAACACACATTTTTTTTCTTTGGGTAGAATGGGGAAGTGTTGGCACATCTGTCAGGTTTTTTTCAAAGCTGTCTGTGACTTCTCTGGGGAGATTTACTCTCTCTATTTGTCCAGGTGACAATATAGAAATCCAGCATTTTTGAGTTGCTACAGGAACAGGAGTTGAGAGGTACTTGAATGCGTTTTTAAGGTTTAACACCTGAGTTTAGTGTTACTTTTAGTAGAGTTCTACTTTAAAGCCTTGTGTAGCCCCCCCACCCCCAGCTCCCATGCCAGGCTTATACTTACCCATCCCATTAAGGCATCAGCTGCAAGTGCACTCTCATTTAATCCTATGGCGAGTTAAGCTGGAGCACAAACTTAAGCAGAATTGACAAGCATACCGTCATGTGGATATATTTCTTCCAGCACGCAAACATCTAAATATCAATAAATCAAAATGACAAAAATGCAATTGGTCTCAAACAAAGGTGATCTAGAACTGACTGCAATACATAACAAGAGCAAGAGTTTGAGCTGATTTCATAAATCACTTGGCACAGCATAACTGGCATTTCAAAGTGGTGTCATTCAACAATTGTAATATATTGAACGTCACAAAAAGGTACAACTACCAAAATCACTGATGGTTTGGAAATATGCAAATCATAGAAGCGATTTATTAAAGGTCGAAGAGCTCTGTTTGGCATTGTTCTGAATAATTTTTGTTCTTCTATAGCTTTTTTTTTTCTCAGCCCTATTTATAAGAACATATTTCATTGTGTTGTCAGTTCATCATTTGTCAGCAACTGCACAGACTGACCTCAAATTGAACTAAGGGTGGATTTACAATCATGCAGTCTATTATTGCAGGCTCGTTGGACTAAGACAGCCTATTCCTTATAAATAAGCTTTCAGTGCACCATAACAGACCTAAATTTAGACCTGCGCCAAGGCAGTACATGACAACGCATAGTAGTTGTGGTTCACTGCAAGGTAGATGCATTGTGTGCATTCTGGTTTATTGCATTGGGGTGCCTTTCACTAGGAATGTCACCATTCAACTCGAATGGCTCCGCAACACAGACTGGGGGGGATTTATCAAAACTAGAGCAGACAAAATCTGGAGAAGCTGTTCATGGCAACCAATCAGCTTCTCTCTTTCATTTTCAAATGTTAACTGAGCAAACTGAAGAGAGATGCTGAATGGTTGCCATGGGTAACTGCTCCAGTTTTGATAAATTCCCCGCTATGTGTTTTGGGTTGAGGGGCAAGAACCTCTGCCAGGCTTGAACTGCCCTTTGTGGCCCATTGGTTTCTGTGTCAGTAATAACACTGTCACTGGGACAGCAAATGAGGAGAAATCTACAACAGCACAAAAAACAATACAAATACTCATTTTTTTATACCGTAGGGGAAAGGTAGAGTCCTCGTCAACCTTTTATTGTTGCCTCATCTGCTGTACAAGTCACAAAATTGGCACTGGGACAGGAAATTAAAGGACATTTCCTTAAAAGAGAACTATGGGGTAATTGTTTTTCCCCATAGTTCTCTTTAGGGTCACGTGAGGACATATACTAGCCTCTTCTCGTGACCCAAAGCTCAGTATATAGCGAACTATAGCCGGGATATACTGGGAGCGCCGAAGCCGGGACGTATCCTGACAATACTGTTGAGATCCACCCAGCTGTGTGAGTGACAGCTGGCTCTGCCTATCTAGAGGCAGAGCCAGCTGTGCCCGCCCCCTCTCCCATTCGTACCTTCACTCAGCTCTGGAGGATCGGAGAGGGGGGAATCCCTGCGGGGAGCGGTGACTGACAGTCACAGCTCACTGCAGGGAGACGATCGGGAAGTGAGCGGATCAGCGGCATGTTTCTGCTCACTTCCTGATTGATAGAGCCAATCTGTGACAGTTTTTTGTCACAGGTCGGCTCTAACTATGAGGATGATTGGAAATCACTCACCTCATAGTTCTCCTTTAATGAAACCTAAGGCAGCATCAACTGCATGAAGAAGTCCCTGAACAACGACCTTCCAAGAAGAGCTCAACAAGAGGCACTTAGATGTCAACACCTATTTGTTCTGAAGGGTGTAGAAATTAATTCAACAAGCTAACTTCCTCTGGAAAGGCTGCTAATGAAAAACAAGATTCCCACCGGTGGAAACCCAAAAAGTTCTAAGGAAGGGCAGTGTCAGCACAAATTTGGAGATGATTTGAAGATGTACAGTCAAATGATATATATATATATATATA